ATATATTTAAAGATTTATCTTTTAATTAATATTTTAAAAAATGAATGATTGAATTAAAAGTTTTATTTATATAGATCAAGTATATCAATTTTTAAATTATTCTAATATCCTTAATTACTTCATTAATTATAAGAAATTTAGCACTATTATATATGTATTAATAAATAAAATTTCTTTAATTAAAATGTTATAAGTGTTAAAATAATATAAAAATTAATATATGTCATCTATATGAATAGAACTTTCAATCTAATAGTCGGTTCTTAAAAATATTAATTAGAACATAAGGTTTTAGATAATTCCTTTAAAAAAATTTTAAGAGGATGACTTACTTTACACTATCTCATATCTACCACTCCTATTATTTGATTTAATCTTTATACATTGTTTTAAATAGATTTCCCCTTATATTTTTATCTTCAGATTAACAGACAGACATAAGTTGAGTTTGCTTTATTTTTTTCCTGCACTTTTTCACACGGTAATTTATAAAATTGTTAATTTATTATGATTAAATTAATTTTAATTAATATTTTATATAATTTTGTAATCATACTAATGTATAAAACTCTTTTCTAAGTAATTATTAAATAATAACATAATTTTTTTATACTAAAATATTGAAAAGCTCATAACCATAGCACTTTACAATAATTTCAAACACAATCATAGTCATACATTATTATTACGTTTTTCTCATTCAATAATTGCTAAGTTCTTACCGATTTGATAGTCTTGGACCTATTTTTTATGAGAGAAAAGTAAGCTTGGCAAAATTAGATTCAATTCAAAAATCTGACCCAATTCATCCGTTATGGGTCAAGTTATGGATCTTATGTTTTAATCCAAAATCCAAAATAACTCAGACTAAAATTACCCAAATTCAAATGAATTGGGTCATGAGTGGGTCAAGTCACTTGAAATGACCTAAACTTTTATTTATTTATTTTATTAAATTACTTAAAAATTAATTTTAAATTTTTAATTTTCTAATCCTAAAAGTAGAATTAAATAAAATACCCAAACCCTAACCTCCCATTAGTTTCACTTTCTCTTAACTTTCCTTCTTCTCCACTCTTACTTTCCCCTTCTCCATCTCAAGCTCTCTAATCCTTCTTTTTGGTGGCACTCGTGTAAAAAATCAAATTAGGTGGCATATAGTAAATTATGTCATATGGCACTGTCAAAAAGATTTTTTTTTTAAAAAAAATAAAAAGCAAAAATGCTTACTGAAAATTAAAACCCAGTGGTTGAGATCCCTTCATCACCATTAGAAGCACAAAGACAAGAACATCAAAAGCATAAAAAACATCAAGGTTCATTCTTAGTTGCTAATTTGTTCTTAGTTAATAAAAATCAATTCCGATTTAATTTCTTTTTGTATTTGTTTAGACATATTTTGTATTTGCCTTTTGAGTTTTAATATTAAATAGGGTTATATTTTTTGTATAATACCATTTTAAATATTAAATAGACACTAGATGTTAATATATATATATATATATTGGATTTACCTTTTGAACTCTAATCCTTCATGTCTCTTCTTTTAACAAAGGTTAATGCTTTTATGAAATAATGAATTCTAAATATTATATAGGCATTATATATTTAACATATATTTTAGTTTCACCTATATAATCAGTAATATTTTTCATTTCTTTTTTTAAGATTGGAATAAAAATCGAATCATGAAATGAAAATTAGAGTTTAGTAAAGTTTTCTAATTAAATAGTTAATTACTATTAGACTTTGTTAAAAAAAATAGAGGAAAATATAGAAACTTTTTAATTTTAATTTTAATTTTTTAGAAGTTGGGTCCACCCGATCTAATCCGAAACCCATGTAGGTGAGTCATGGGACTACCCTTTTAACTAACACTTGAAATAACCTAATTTGAAAAACTCGAGATTCGAGATAACCCAATCCAAATCCACCAAATCCAACTTGTTTGATAGGTCTAGAGAAAAGTAAAAATTAGAATGTTTTAGTACCTTAAATGTCACCTTAAATGTTAAAACCTCTTATAAAATTATTTAAATACTCGTAATAAACTTTTTGCATGTTAATTCGGGGGATTATAGATAGCATTTTTCTAGAGACAGTCATACAGCAATTGCTACCTGAACCACAATTGAGAATGATTGAGAATATGTAAGGAGCAGTGGCTTAGTTCTCACCTTATTAACCAACAAAAGTTCAATTTTTTGGGAGCTCATTGTGAAAGTAATTTAACATGAATAAGGTTGAATTTTAGGTCGCTTTTTCATGTTGTTTTTTCTACCACACCTAATAAAAGGATTAATTTATAATGATTAAATTGATTATAATTAATGTTTTGTAAAATGTTATAGTTATATTAATGTGTAGAACTTTTTTCAAAACAATTATCAAATAATAACATGATTTTTTTTATAGTAACGTACTAAAAAAATTCACAATCATTATAGTTTACAGTAAACTCAAACACAAACCACTTTTATAACTTTTGTTTGGTGCAATTTTTGTACATTTTAGAAGAGAATTTTGTAGTTTTTTTTTTATTATTATTTAGAATGGAGCTTATTTTGGTGAACTAGACTTCCCCTTGGCTTTCACTTTTTAGAGGGTTTTTACTTTTCTTTTTCTTTTTCAAACAGATACAATTTGGGGGTAGGGGATAAGAATTTAAGTATAGCAATGTCATAACTCAAACTTGAGTAACTAAGACATTGAGTGCACCTAACAATTGGCCCGTGAGGCCTGATGGTTAGAGGGTTTTTTACATACTCTATTGTATAAATTATATTTAAATGTAAAAAAAAAATAGATTCAAGAGAAAAAATATATATATCAAGATATTTTAACATTTAAAATATCAAAACTTCCAATTATCACTATTAAATATTTGTGATATAATATAAATTATAACTTTATTAAATTTATCATATTATTATTATTATTTAACATCTTAATAATATTTTTATTAACAAATAAAAATATCTTAATAATTTTAACATCAATATATTTTAATTTTCCCTTCAATCAAAATTAAATGCAACTTCAATGAAAAACTTTTGAGAGTATGGGGGCTACCCCTCACCTCCTTCCTGTACCTATTAAAAATATTTTAATCTCCCTACATTTCCTTCATATCTCAAGCCTTTTTTTTTTTTTTTTTTTTATGATATGGGTTAATAAAAGCTATTACATTGAATGATTTAGTTTTGATAATTTTAGAGTATTACCATTACATTATATGGTGTAATGAGTGAAGTTTATATGTGATGATAGATTTAATTTATTCTTGATATGAATTATGGGAATACAAAAATTCATTACGTCTTTTACAAAATACTATATAATTTGTGATATGTAAATTATAAGCAGAAAGTATGGGAGCCACCCCTCACCTCCTTCCTCTAACTATTAAAAATATTTTGATCTTCCTACATTTCCTTCATATCTTAAGCTTCTTTTTTTTTCTTTTTTTATGATATGGGTTAATAAAAGCTATTACTTTGAATAATTTAGTTTTGATAATTTTAGAGTATTACCATTATATTACATGGTGTTATTCCTCGAACACTCTCCTCCATCTCCACATCATGTCATCGCTGTGCCTCAGTTACAAAATCAAATAAAATAATAATTAGTGAACTTATCAAGAAATATTGATAAGAAAATAGCATCTAAATAGGCATGAAAAGCATACTTACTTTAAGGCGATTCACGCCTCTACAAAGAGTAGATCAACCGGTGCAACAGAGATACATAAAGCATGTCGCCCCCAGCATATTACAGCTTTATAGTAACACTCTATGGATCTGCACTACCCATAGAGTCACCTTATTCAAAACACCTTTCTTTACCCAAAATATTTAGAAAATAAAGTGAGGTAAGAAAGAATAGAGGAATGTGTAGAAAAACCCATTTTTAAGCAAAAGGCATGTCCTATTTATAGGACTCATGATTTTGTAACTCCCATTTGTAGGTTAATGGTAGGAATAAATTGAGCAATTATTATGAAATAATGTGCCTTTAAATAGGACAATTAACCTCCAACGGCT